CTGATTTCATTTTTTAAAAAGATTTTATTTATTTATTCATGAGAGACACAGAAAGAGGCAGATATAGCCAGAGGGAGAAGTAGGCTCCCTATGGGGAGCCTGTGTAGAACTCAGTCCCAAGACCATGGAATCACGGGCTGAGCCAAAGGCAGACACTCAACCACTGAGCCACCTGGGTGCCCCTCTGATTTCATTTATTCAAGATCTCTTTCTTAGTAAATAGCTAAAAGTTTATCAATTTTGTTTATTTTTTTCAAAGAACCAGCTTAATTTCATTGATCTGTTCTTTTTTAAATATTTTATTTATTTGAGACAGAAAGCACAAGCAGGCAGGGAGGAACAGGAGGAGAGGGAGAAACAGTCCCTACTGAGTAGAGAGCCCAATGCGGGGCTCGAACCCCAAGATGACTTGACCCAAAGGCAGATGCTTAACCAACTGAACCAACAAGGCATACCCCATTGATCTTTTCTATTGTCTCCTTAGTCTCATTTTCTTTTTTTAATTTGAGAAAGAGAGAAAGTACAAGTGGGGAGGAGGGGCAGAAGAGGAGAGAGAGGGAAAGAATCTCAAGCAGATTCCGTGTTGAGAACAGAGCCCAACTTAGGGGCTCAAATTCACCACCCTCAAATCACAACCTGAGCTAAAATCAAATCAAGAATTGGACACTTAACCAACTGATCTACCCAGGTGACCCTCTCTAGTCTCTTTGTCATTTACTTTTTCTCTGACCTTTGTTATTGCCTTCTTTCTACTAACTTTGGGCTTCCATTTGCTCTTTGCTTTCTAGTTCCTTTAGAAATAAAGTTAGATTATTTATTTCAGATTGTACTTATTTCTTGAAGTAGATCTGTATCACTATGAACTTCCCTGTTAAAACCGCTTTTGCTGCATCCCACAGATTTTGGAAAGCTATATTTTCATTTATCCGAGGAAAATTTGATTTTTTTACTTTTCCTTCAATTTCTTAATTGGCCCATTGGTTGTCTGGTGGTATGTTGTTAAATCTCCACATATTTGTCATTTTTCCAACTTTCTGTGATTGATTTATACTGTCGTACCATTGCAGTCTGAAAAGATGCTTGATAGGGTTTCAATCTTCTAAAATTTCTTGAGACTTGTTCTCCCCAAACTGGTACTCACTACAGTTGTCATTGGCTCTCCATCTGAGCCACCACCCTGCTGTGCAGCCTCCAGATACCGAAAACAAGCATACTAAGGCCACAAGAGTCAGAAGTTGGCATTAGTCCATTAATATTTAAAATAATTATAGATGGGTATGTACTCATGGTCATTTTAACTGTTTCTGGCTGTTTTGTTGTTCTTCTCTGCTTATTTTCCCTTTTGCTCTCTTCCCTTATGATTTAATGCCTTTCTTTGGTGTTAGGATTTCAGTTTCATGATTCTTTGTATATCTACCATATGTTTTTGCTTTGTGATTTCCATTTGGCTTACATATATCAGCCTACATATAGATATACCAGTCTATTTTAAGTTGATAGGAAATTAAGTCTGAATACATTCTAAAACTCTACATTTTTACTTCCCTTACCACATTTTATGTTTTTGATGTCACATTTCTTATCTTTTTATTTAGTATATCCCTTAACTGTTATCGTTATACTTAATTTTACTACTTTTGTCTTCTAACCTTCACAGTCCACTACTCTTTATATTTACCTTTAGCAGAGAGATTTTTACTTTATATGTTTTCTTGTTACCAATTGGCCTTTCTTTTCAGCTTAAAGAAGTACCTTTCATGTATCTTTTAACTCTAGTAGTGGTAAACTTGTTCAGTTTTTGCTTGTCTAGAAAACTTCCTCTCCTTCAATTCTGAACGATAATCTTCTCAGGTAGGGTATTCTTGGTTGGAAGTGTTTTGCTTTTGGCACTTTGAATATATCATGCCACTCCCTTCTGGCCTTCAAAGTTTACATTGAAAAATCTGGTAAGAGTCTTAGGGGGTTACCTTGTACATAAAAAGTTGTTTTTCTCTTGCTGCTTTTAAGACTCTCTTTTTAACTTTTGATGTTTTAATTATAATGTGTCTTGATATAAATTTCTGGGTTCATCTTATTTGGAACTCTCTGGGATTCCTAGATCTAAATATCTGTTTCCTTCCCCAGGTTAGTGCAATTTTTAGATATTATTTCTTCAAATAAGTGTTCTGTTCCTTTTTCTCTCTCTTCTCCTTCTGGAACATCTATTATGAGAACACTGTTCCACTTAATGTAGTCCCATAGCCCTCATACAGTATCTTTACTTTTTTTTTTTTTTTTTCTTGCTGCACTGTTTGAGTGAGTTCCACTTTACCCTGGTTCCAGTCACTAGTTCTTCTGGTTCACCTAGTCTGCTGCTGAACCTCTGCAGTGTGTCTTTCAGTTCAGTTATTATATTCTTCAGTTCCAAGTCTTCTGTTTGTACTTTCTTATGTTTTCCATCTCTTTGTTGAAGTTTTATGTCCATCCATTCTTCTCCTGAGATCTCTGTTTCATTATGGTTTTTTCAGGGGTTTTATCTTCTCTCATTTAAAATATAGCCCTTTGTTTTCTCACTTTTCTTTGACTTTCAATGTTTGTGCTTATACATTAGGCAACATAGCTATCTTTTCAAACTTGAAGGAATCACAGGAAGACCAGGGTACTTCAGTCTGCTATCTGTGTGGTGCTTTGGGCATATCTGCCTGTCAAGAAGTCTCTGATTGGTCCAGTCCCATGGGTCTCAGAAACACAAAACTCCCTGGACACCAGAGGCAGGTGTTCAAAGGGCGTTCCCTCTATGGACTGCCATATATGCCAGATTTGGCAGGGCCAAGGAGGAGCACCAGGCCAAGGCAAAGCTGCTTACCAGTTTTAGCAGTGTGGGGCTGTGGGGGATACTGGATCAGGGCAAGCTGGCCCAATCGTTTGGTGGGGCAGAGCCACAGAAGTACACAAAAGCAGGGTAAACAACTTTTACAAGGTAGGAGACCGCTAAAATGGTACCTGCCAGTGCTGGTGCGAGCAAGGTAGAAGAGTACAAAAATGGTGCCCACCAGTGCCTCTGGCAACAAGAGAGTTCCAATGGACCCTGTCCCTCTGGCAGGCACTTTAAGCTTACCCTGTAAATCCCCTTCACATATGGCTTAGGCACTTCCAAACTGCTACTTTTGTGCTGGGTCCCAGGACAAGTAAGTCTGCATGTGAACATGTTAAGAGCAGAGTCCCAGGTTCCTACAACACGTGGGTCTCCTTGATGCAAGCCCCGGTAGTTCTGTTTGTTTTAAATATTTTATTTATTTATTCATGAGAGACACACAGAGAAAGAGAGGCAGAGACACAGGCAGAGGGAGAAGCAGGCTCCATGCAGGGAGCCCAAGGCAGAATCGATCCTGGGACTCCAGGATCACGCCCTGAGCCAAAGGCAGACACTCAACCTCTGAGCCACCCAGCCATCCCATCTCCAGTAGTTTCCAAAGCCACACATTTATGAGCTCATTTCTCTGGTACAGGTCCCAAGAGCTGGGGTTCCTGATGTGGGGCTCAAACTCCTCACTCCTCAGGGATAGGCTTTGTATTTGTTAGATCCCTCCCTTTGTGGGTCACTGAGTCGGGAGTGCGGATCTCAAGAGCATGTCTCTGCCTCTCCCACCTATCTCCAGGTGGCCTTGCCATGATTTCTTGTGGAGTTGTTTTTCAGCTAGTCCTCGGGTCTTTTTTCAGAGACAATTGTTTTATAGGTAGCTGTATATTTCGGGTGTGTCCTTGGTAGAATGAGTAGGGTCTTCCTATGTTTCCATCTTGAACCGCCTTTCTGTTCTGTGGTTTTCAAATGTTCCTTTCTTTTTCCCACTTTGATTTTCCCTTTCTTCACTAACATTTGTTTTACCCCATTAATAATGGATGTAGGCTATGCTGGGATAGCCTTTTTAACATAGATTTTCAGAAATAGCTAAAGATTTTCCAAAATAAGGTCTGTTGTTATCTCCCCTTTTTTATAAGTGGAGTTTCTCATATTCTTATATAGTATGAATAATACAGTTTTGTATAGAATAGACTTCTTATAAGAACACGCTGAACAAATTTTACATTTTTCTAGATGATTACTGACTATGCCAACATACTGCAAATATAGTTGTGTACAGGAAAGAGATGTGAATTAATCCTGTTCACAGCAGCATACCTGAAAACTTCTAAGTCACATACGATCATATTCATTGCCTCTCCATAAAATAGTGATGAACAAGTATACAAACACTGCTAAACAATGTTAAAAAGTTTTCCTTTCTAATAAACTGGTGTCTTCTTTTCTCCCCGATCATTCAGAGAATCTTTTTCTTTCTTTTTTTAATTTGTTAAGTGAACTTTACCCCCAATATAGGCTCAAACTCGTAACTCCAAGATCAAGAATCTCATGCTCCACCAACTAAGTCAGCCAAGCACCTTGAATCTTTTCTTTCTGAAGTACAATCCTCCAGAAAAGAAGATTCAAAGAGCCAAATAGGGATGCCTGGGTGGCTCAGTGGTAGAGCATCTGCCTTTGGGTCAGGGCGTGATACCAGGTCCAGGGATGGAGTCTCACATCAGGCTCCCTGTGAGGAGCTTGCTTCTTCTCCCTCTGCCTATGTCTCTGCCTCTCTCTCTCTCTGTGTGTGTCTCTCATGAATAAATAAAATGTTTTCAAAAAAAAAAAAACAAAAACAAAAACAAAACAAAAAGCCAAATAGCTGTTACTGCACCTTAGTTATATTTTAATTAATTATATATGTGGAAAAGCACACTGCTCCCACTGTTAATTTAAAGAGCAAATATTAGAGTTTCCTTTCTCTCTTAGGGAAAATATAAATTCCTCATTATTTTCCTTTACACAATCAAAAAACCCTCAACCCAAATGAGTTTACATTTTTTTTCAGTGAAGCTTAATTAGGTAGGCAGCAGCTCCCCATTCTTTCTCTACAAGATTTCACTGAGCTAACTTTGAATAAGATAACTGTGCTCTTAAATGATGAACCCAGAGTACTTGCCTTTCTAGTCTTCTCCATGATTCTATAACTAGTGCTTCAACCAGAAGGTCATGGGCCTCAGGAGCACACCTCAAGAAAACCAAGAGAAAATAATCTGTCATACATGAATGCTTTTAAATTACTAAAAACAATTATGCAAGTAAGAGTTATATTGCAAAAGTGAACCTCAAATTATTGTACTCTTACACAGACCTTATCTCTGGTCTATTCCCATTTCAGTATTCTGTTTTCTTGATACAATATAAAAACATCAACATTTTATTCCATGTCTCTCTCATTCTTTTATCTGTTCAATGCCTTCCACTGAACAATGAAAATGTTCAATGATACATGTTATGCTAAAAGTACACATAACGTAGGTTACTTTGCTCTGATTACAAAAATATTTTTATAGGAGAGAGTTTGTAAAATACAGAAAAACTTAAATAGGATACTAAAAATGATTTACAGGTCTGTACTCATAAATTGCCACCATCATTAATTTGGAGCATAACATTCGAGTTATCTTTTCTACACACATATGAAATACACATATTTCTTTTACATGCCTATATCCTACCCTTTTCAGTAAGTTAACATTATATTGTGGACATTTGCCCATGACACTATACATTGTTCACAACAATTTTTAAACATTGTATATTATTCCATTATGTGAATATAATATCACTTAAACACTCGCCTACTTTTATTTTTTTTCGCCTACTTTTAGAATTGTAGTTTTTCAGCATTATAAATAACGTTGGGCTGAATATCAATGTACAATAACCTTTATATGTATCTCAGATTATTTTCTTTGGATAAATCTTAGAAGCAACCTTTTTTAGATCCTTTTTTAGATTTTATAGTTTTTGATACATTCTGTACCACCAGAGCATATAAGAGTCCCACTTCTAGTATATCTTCATTAACAATGAATACTTTCTATATAACTAAACCACATAGACTGTATTTTGTAGGTATAAAAATCTCTTTTAACCAATCATAGTATCTTTATAATGTTAAGACTCTAGTAGTCTCCTAAAAATCAAAGACTTTCAGGTTGAGTCATGAAGCAAAATTGAACTACATGCTGCTTTTAAAACTTGAAAACAAAATTATATTTTACTCTTAAAATCCTTTCAGTATTAAAATATTACTTAGGAGGGAAACATAGAAATATAGTTTTTAGACAAATCCTCACCAAATAGCATTTCTCCATCTGCCTAAACAGACATGAGTCTTGTGAGGTGTTTAACCCAATGTTTTGTGGTTAAATAAATTTGGAAACTGCTTGCTTAGCTATCCATAATATGCATTAACATATAAGGGCTGTGAAGAGTTCTGCAAAAAAGACTTGTTGAATTTTGTCTTATTCATCATTTTCCAAGTTTTTTTTTTTTCATCATTTTCCAAGTTAACATGAACACTGAGGAAGTAAATCTATACCAATATATGAGTTGGATAATCATGTGAGAAAACTGCTATTTTTCCATGAATGAGACTAAGAAATAGATTACAACTTCTGTGTGTTACTTTTCTCTTATATGTCTGCTAAATACTTTAGACAATCCAGTTTTTCTGAAGGCTGGATTCCCTTGCAAACCATGAAAAATCTTTTCTTTTTTAATGTTTTCCCAGCTCTACTGAATTATGTTTAACCAAAATTGTATATATTCAGGTTGCATAACAGGACATTTGATATACATATACAGTGTTACCATAAAGACTATCCTCTAACCATCTTAAAAGTATTAAATGATCAGGAATACTGTTTACAGAAAAAGAGTTTTCCATTTTAAAGAGAGAGATTTTTAGAAAATTAAAATATAAAAATAAACTACAATGATGTCTATAAAATCTAAAAGTATATTACTTACTGCTGTATGAAGTACAACACATTCACCAGGGTATCATCATCCATGAATTCTATTTGACTTGTAGCTAAATTATGAAGAGTAAGAAAGTGGGGATAGTCTCTAATACAGTCAACATTTTTTAAAAAGCTGGTTCTTTGCTGTTGAAACTGCCAAAGTATATTAAATGCACATTCCACTTGCTTTTCTGAAAAAGTGGCTTTGTTTTTCTTAATAAGATCAAATACTTGCTCTTCATCTGTACACTTAATCATCTGGCTAATTAGTGGTTTACAACTGCAGGTTCGAAATTGAAACACTCTCCAGGAGCATGGATAAATGGCTCTTAGGCGAAGCATATTTACAAGTAATGAGTCTAAAAGAAAGGTAATTTTTCATTTACATCACAAATTTTCTTAGCTAAAGAAAACCATTTGCAACTAGTAGTCAGATGCAATATGCTGGAAAACAGGTAACTTTTTCCTTCACGTATTTTGCTTCCATTATGGTAACTCCAAATCCCATTCCAACATGCAGCTTCTGTAAAAAGATTGGTTTAACATGGTTATGCTAATATTATTAATACCAAATCAGATTCAAAATTCAAATTAGGGCAGCCTGGGTGGCTCAGTGGTTTGGCGCCTGCCTTCAGCCCAGGGCGTGATCCCAGGGTCCCAGGATCGAGTCCCACATCAGGCTCCCTGCGTGGAGTCTGCTTCTCCCTCTGCCTGTGTCTTTGTCTCTGTCTCTGTGTCTCTCGTGAATAGATAAATAAAATCTTAAAAAAAATTTTGTTTCAAATTAAAGAAACAAGTTTTTTTCTGCATTAACTTCAGACCTTGTTCTTAGTCTGAAACAAACAGCAGAACTTGGTCCAAAACTAAGTGTCAGGAAAAGGGACTTCTTTCTGCACTCCATTAAAAAATGTTTGTTAGGGACGCCTGGGTGGCTCAGTGGCTGAACGTCTGCCTTTGGCTCAGAGCATGATCCTGGAGTTCCGGGATCGAGTCCCACATTGGGCTCCCTACATGGAACCTGCTTCTCCCTCTGCCTATGTCTTTGCCTCTCTGTGTGTGTGTCTTTCATGAATAAATAAATAAAATCTTTTTTTAAAAAAAAAGTAAAAATAAATAAATAAATAAAAAATAAAATTTGTTAAATTTTACACATATACACAAATACATATATTCAAATTTGACCATAAAAGCAGAAGGGAAAAAAAAAATCCTAAACTCAGAACCATCATTTTAAACAAAAGAGTCAAACTGTTTGCAATAAATAAATATATCATCTTAACATTTTTACATGAAACAGTCATAATTCAGAGCCATAGTTTTTTTTTTTTTTTTTCCCCTCAGGATGGTGGGATCCAGTCCAGCATGGGGCTTACCCAGTCTGATGAAGATTCTTTTCCCTCTCCCTCTCTCTCCCCCTCTGCTCCTCCTTCCATTTGTGTGCATGCTCTCTCTCAAATATTTTTTTAAAAAATTTGTTTTCAAAAAGGTAGTTTCTAGTGTATCTACTTTCAGGATAATTTCTTGTTTCTTCTGGTACTCTAAAAGAACTCAAATGATTTGGTCACTACTGACCTTTGGTCAGTTTAAACCAATAAGCAAGACGATTAAAGCACCAATCAGGAAATATAAAGAAATCAAGAAATGTATCAAGACATGTTGAAGCAATTTAAGAACCAAAGATAATTATGAAAAAGGAGAATTTATTTTAACACTATATTATAGGGCAGCCCGGGTGGCCCAGCGGTTTAGCGCTGCCTTCCGCCCAGGGCGTGACCCTGGAGACCCGGGGTCGAGTCCCACGTCGGGCTCCCTGCATGGAGCCTGCTTCTCCCTCTGCCTGTGTCTCTGCCTCTCTCTGTGTGTGTGTCTCTCATGAATAAATAAATAAGTAATCTTAAAAAAAACACACTATATTATAAATGTTTATATTTCTAATTGAGAAACAACAGAAAAGCTGCGACTAAAATCACAATACCTAACATTTCTGCGACATTTCACAAAGGGACTTTTAAAATAGATCATCTCATTAAATTCTCTCAACTAACCTATCAGGCAGATATTGCCATTTGCATTTTACAGATAAGAAAAGCTATTTTCAAAAAGGACTAAAAAGGGCAACCCGGGTGGCTCAGCAGTTTAGCGCCGCCTTCAGCCCTGGGCGCGATCCTGGAGACCTGGGTTCCAGTCCCACGTCGGGCTCCCTGCATGGAGCCTGCTTCTCTCTCTGCCTGTGTCTCTGCCTCTGTCTCTCTCCCTCTCTGTGTCTCTCATGAATAAATAAATTAAATCTTTATAAAAAAGGGTCTAAAAAAAAACTACTTTAGTACTTGTGAACTGAGACAAGCACTCAGTTATTTCTATTCTTTCAACTTGAACACCTCCTCACATCAGCAAAACCAACACTAAAAGATTGCCTCAGACTATGGTTATGCTGAGCTGTTTACAAGGAAAGACAAGCAAAACGAGACAGTATTGGTACTTTGTGGCAATCAGCACAGTGCAGACGGCGTCCTGACGTCGGCCGACCTGGGTCTCACACACACAAACCCTGTCCGCAGCGAGGGTATCCTCAAGGTTCTTCTGTCTACGATAGAAAACAGGAGCCGCTCACGGGCTGGGAGACCAAGGTGTTAGGTCTCCAGCTACGTCCCAGACAAACGGCCTTTGGGAAGTCACTTGACCAAAGGAGGGCCCTTGGGGCTGAGTGCTGGGTGCACAGTGGCACCCGGTGTGAACCACGAGCGTCCCCCACGCTGGGCGCACAGCCGCCCTGGACGAACCAAAGTGGCCGCCCTCGTCCCGCTCACCGCGGGCTCAGCCCGGCCCGCCCCCGAGCACCCGGGAAAATCCAATACCCGCGAGGCAGCCTCCGTTCCTGGCCAAACCCTGCACCTCGGGGCCGGAAACGTGCTGGGCGGAAGACGACCTGCCGCCCCTCCTCGGCCCTGGCTTGCAGGTGACGCTCTCCCCTCAACGACCTCCAGCTCTTCTGGAGGATGCCGGGGGAAGGCTGGTTAAGATGGCTCTTTCTGGTCCCCAACAAGGGACAGAACCTCCCCTCCCCCCCAGCTCATAGCTTGCAGCCTTTCCTCCAGAGACATCACCTCTCCGATGATGATCCAGTCCCCAAAGCAGGTTTAAAAAAAAAAAAAAAATGCCTGGCCTGCACAGCGTGCTCAGCTTAAGGCACGTACTACACGCCCCAGAGGACGTAGCGGCGAGGCCAACGGAATGGACGTCGCTTACGCATTCGCGGGGCATTCTGGGCATTGTAGTTCCTCTTTGAGAGACTTCGGGACTACCCATTTTAAACTGCGGCAGTTATAAGTCCTTTAGGTCATTGTTTCCCAATCATCTGAGGCTTGGAAAACTGATTTTTTAATAGTATATAATAAAACATGGGGATCCCTGGGTGGCGCAGCGGTTTGGCGCCTGCCTTTGGCCCAGGGCGCGATCCTGGAGACCCAGGATCGAATCCCACATCAGGCTCCCGGTACATGGAGCCTGCTTCTCCTCTCCCTCTGCCTATGTCTCTGTGCCTCTCTCTCTCTCTCTCTCTCTCTCTCTCTCTCTCTCTCTCTCTCTCTGACTATCATAAATAAATAATAAAAAAAATTAAAAAAAAACATGGACACCTAGAAAATGAAATTTGAAAAGGTAAACATGGAAAAAACACCTGTGTATTTTTGTTTCTTGTGCTATTCAGCATATATGAAATGACCATCAACTGGCTATAAAAGTAAAGTCTTACTCTCAGTTTCTGCCCTTGTGTCATGGTGAGGCCAGTCTTTGGAACCATACTTTAAAAAAAAAAACAAAACAGCTTTATATATTGAGAAATAATTTACACACAGCATCATTTACCCATTCACATTGTACAATTCAATGCTTTTCCTAGTTTACAGTTCTGGAGCATCACCACAATTCATTTTACAACTTTTTAAAAGATTTCATTTATTTATTCATGAGAGAATACAGAGACATAGGCAGAGGGAAAAGCAGGCTCCATGCAAGGAGCCTGATGTGGGACTCAATCCCAGAACCCCAGGATCATGCCCTGAGCATGCCCTGGTAGACACTCAACCACTGAGCCACCCAAGTGCCTCTAGAATATTTTTATAAGTCCAAAAAGAAATCAGCTAACCAACAGCAGTCACTTCCCCTACTTCACTATAGTCAATCACTAATGGGAGAGCACAATTTGACTAGCATTGATTTAGATTGTTTGGAACCATGTCAACTGATTACCTTGAAGTCTGAGGTTGGCCTTAATGCACAGAATAGTTTCAGAACAAACATCAGAAAAAGCATAGGGATGAAACTAGGCACTGTGTCACTATTCTTCAGTCAAAGACCTATAGTTAAAATTGGGATTACGGACCAATTGTAATGAAGAACACACTCTAAGGAGTGTCAAATTAAGAAAGTGTTAGAACTTATTATGGTATTCAGTCCTGTGTTAAGTCATTTGGGGGAGGTTTAAGGGGCTTTTCTCTTGAAAATTCCACTATTGAGTATCTTAAACTTTATTTATAGGGCAGGAGAAGTAAAGTGAGGTTAAAGCTGTGTTTAATAAAGAGGAAGCAGTCACTCGTAATAGCCAGAATAGGTACCTGTTTGATCATTTTTTTGTGATTTGAACAATGTTCTTGTTTTGGTCTCAATTCTGTATGAGTATGCAATGGTCTTGTCTTGGCCTTGTCTCATGTTTGTGTTCTGTGCAATTGTTCAACAGAATACCAATGCTGAGCTATGAGGGCCAGACCAGCTCCAGCAACAGTAGGACCTAAGTGATAGTGTCAGGACAGTTTCTTCACTGTTGTGCCTGTTTATCTCCTTCTTACCAGTTTGTGTAATGTAAGGAGACTGACCTAAGAAACACATACCAGAGGCCTGCCTTCCTCTGGAATCTTGCTTATGTAAGAAAAGGAAGTCCTTTTTGTTTAGTCACTGTTTGCATCTTTTTTCTTTACTTGCAGTCTAGGGCAATTTATAAGATATATATTTATGTATAAATCATATCTGAGAACAAAATTAAGGTAATAACTTAAGTCCATAGCCATAAAATTGTGTTAGCTAGTGATTTAACTCATGAAGAAGTATCTTTTACAAAACCTAACAAGTGGTTAACAAAGTGTGGCTCTTAATTTCCTCCTAGCAAATGTCAATGCCCTTCAGCCAAAAATCACAAGAAGCCTGCAGTTGAGGTTTATTACTATTACTTGTTATAGCTAGGGAAAATGCACAGTGCAAGGAATCCTTTAGCTGGTCAATAAAAGAGTATTAGAAAGAACCTATTAGAGGATGTGGGCTTTGGTTGGGTAATTTTGGGGAGCGTGTAAGGAAGAAAGGGTTTGCTCTATTTTTGGGTGCTAGGAAGCAGGGCAATCCTAGGATTGGGCATCTAATACATCTTAATTATAAGGAAAGCAGATTAACACAGGGATAAAGCTGAAATTGGTAAAGAAGTAGCATTCACTCATTTAATGAGAGGGGAATCTTTGGTATTTTGTGTGACACGGGGATCTTGTCTGAGTCAATGTTCTGTGAGATTGTTTTTGGTTTTTTATTAAAGCTTTTATTTATTTATTCATGAAAGACAGAGACAGAGAGAGAGAGAGAGAGGCAGAGACACAGGCAGAGGAAGAAGCAGGCTCCATGCTGGAAGCCCTACATGGGACTCAATCCTGGGTCTCCAGGATCACGCCCTGGGCCAAAGGCAGGCACTGAATCGCTGAGCCACCCAGGGATCCCCTGTGAGATTGTTTATATCCAACAGGAGGACAATATGCTTTAAACTTTGTCAGATAAGTCTGAAATAGCATTGAGTCTTAACAATGAACACACACATAAACACACACACACACACAGTCTTAACAATGAACACACACATAAACACACACACACACACACACACACACACAAAATGAACACCAACCCAGTTTTTCCAATATCAGAGACTGTTCTTTTTTCCCCTCACAAATTTACTTGAGTGTTTTTTCTCCTGGAGTAATTCTGCCAGTAAATAATGTATTTGTTGTATATAACACCAACTGCATAGGCAAGAAGAGAAAAAACAAAGTAACTTGGACTTCATCAAATTTAAAACTTTCATGCACCAAAGAACACTCTCAACTGAAAAGGCAACCCACAAAATGGGAGAAGATATTTGCAAATGATAAATCTGATAAGAAATTAATATCCAGAATATATGAAGAACACTACAAATCAGTGACAAAATTTTTCAATGCGCAAAGGGCGTGAACAGACTCTCCATGGTTACCGGCACATGAAAAAATGTTCAAAATAACTAATCACTAGGGAAATGCAAATTAAAGTACAATGAGAGACCACCTCACACCCAATAGGATGGCTATTTCCAAAAAATTAGAAAATACCGAGTGTTGGCAAGGATATGGAGAAACTAGAACCCTTGAGTATTACTGGTGGGAATGTAAAATGGTGCAGCTGCTGTGGGAAAAACAGTATAGTGTTTCTTCAAAAAAATTGAACAGAATTATCATGTAATCTAACAATTCTATTTCTGGATACTCAAAAGAATTAAAAGCAGGAGCTTGAACAAATATTTGTACAGCAATGTTCATAGCAGCATTATTTATAATAGCCAAAATGTGGAAGCAACCCAATTGTCCACTGACAGATAAATGGATAAATAAAATGTCATATATACATATAATACAATTTTTTTCAGGCTTAAAAAGAAAGGAAATTCTGACACATGCTACAACATAGGTGAATCTCGATGACACTATGCTAAATGAAATAAGTCAGACACAAAAGAATAAATGTTGTATGATTCCATCCACCTAGAGTAGTCAAATTCATAGAAACAGAAATTAGAATAGTGATTGCTAGGGGGTCGGGGGAAAGGATAATGGGGAGTTGTTCAGTGGGTATAAAGCTACAGTTTTGCAAGACAAAAAGTTCTTAAGATTTGTTGCACAATGTAAATATGCTTAATGCTACTGAACAATACACTTAAAATAGTTAAGATTATGTATTTAACTACAATTTTTAAAAAGGTATTCAATTTAAAAAAAAGGGCAACCTTACTGGTAACCAGGAAATTATAAAATAAGATGGTACCATTCTTTTCACCCATTAAATTAGCAAAAACTAAAAAGATTGAAAACAACCTTCATGAAGGATAAGAGTCACTTTTATACAATCTTAAAGTGCTTCAACCGCTCAATACTAATCTGGTACTATATGTCACATTGAAAAGTGTACATATTCTGAAATGCATTAATCTCTCTTCTGGCTATCTTTCTTGCAGATTTATAGGCATCAATATATAAGGATATATGTAAAAGGATGTTTATTACAGTATTGTTTGTATTAACCAAAACTTGAAACAACTGAAATGTCCAAGAGAATGGCTGAATAAATTATACTATGGAATGGTATATAAATATCAAAAAATGTTCATAATATTTTTCATGCAAACAAAACAAATTTAAGAATAATATGTGTGATGGGATCTTATTTTGTTAAAGGAAGGGAGAGAAAGTTTTTAATATTAGTACAGGAATAGAAAAGAATATTATTGGAAACCTCGAGGGGAAAAATTGGAAAAGATTAGGGGGAAATTATTTTTAAACTTTGATAGAATCTTCAAATTTTTTTTAATATTAATTTTTTAATTTATTTTATTTTATTTATGAGAGTCGCAGAGAGAGAGAGAGAGAGGCAGAGACATAGTCAGAGGGAGAAGCAGGCTCCATGCACCAGGAGCCCGACATGGGATTCGATCCCGGGTCTCCAGGATCGCGCCCTGGGCCAAAGGCAGGCGCCAAACTGCTGTGCCACCCATGGATCCCAGAATCTTCAGATTTTTATAATAGTTTATATTACTGTAAAATATATGTGACAACAAGCATATGTCTTTAAAAAGGTTAACATTTTTTATATTATTGGTGATACAGAAAAAATAAGAACAAACAACAGGGATACCTGGGTGGCTTAGTGGTTGAGCATCTGCCTTCAACTCATGGCGTGATCCTGGAGTCCCGGGATTTAGTCCCACATCCGGCTCCCTACATGGAGCCTGCTTCTCCCTCTGCCTATGTCTCTGCCTCTCTCTCTATGCCTCTCATGAATAAATAAATACAATCTCTAAAAAAAAAAAAAAAAAAAAAAAAAAGCTTTAAGAACAAGCAATTTGCTGTTTTTCTGTGGGTAGGTAGAAACAAAATTTTTTATTCTTTTAAAAATGTTGGGGTAGGCTCAATTAGTAGAGACTGTGGTTCATGATCTCAGATTTGTGAGTACAAGCCCCATGGTGGGCATAGAGACATTTAAAAATAAAATCTTTAAAAAAATAAATTGGGGCTCTGAGTGGCTCAGTCAGCTGAGCAACAGACTTTTGGTTCTGGCTTAGGACATGATCTTGGGATCCTGAGGTCAAGCCCCAAGTAGGGTCTGCACAGGATTCTCTCTCTTCCTCTCTATCTGTTGCTTCCCCCCTTCTATTTCTTCCTAAAATAAATACATAAATATTTTTTTAAAAAATTAATAATGTTAATAGTAGTTCAGCCCAACAGCTTCCCTTCTTTTGGTATCAGACTCCATGCTTCACACTATAAAAACTGAAATGACCTAAGCTAGGGCAAATCTATTACTTCAGGCTCATAGCCTGAAGTTAGATGGGTAATACTATCTGCTATGATAAATAAAGCCAAAATGTCAGTGGTTTAACCAACATAATTTGATTTCACTTCACATCAAAATGTGGATATCTCTGGTCAGTGGAAGATCTTTATCTATATGGAGATTCAAGAAACTACTCTTCTTTTATAATCCCCCAGGGTCTTAAATCTCTCTGGATCCAGCTAACAAAATAAGAATGGACACAGAGAAGACATAGTGCTTTGTAACATCTTGGCCTGGATGCAATATACATAATTTTCACTTATTTTCTACTGATGAGAAATATTCACATATCCTCACTTGGATGCCAAGGGGACAGCTAAGAAAATGTAGGCATGTCAGATACTTCCCAGCAACACCCTTCACTATGTAAGTGGGAGCACAGATTTTGGGGCTTTCACTACAAGGCTAATCAAAGACTTTTCTGGAACTTTATAATTGGAGCTGCCAGGGACTATTTATTAAGACGTCAGGTAACTCTTCAGTCTAGAGAACAAAGCCAAAAAACAAGTAGGTCAAATTAGACGAGAGACAAGTTCTATGGTATTTCAACTATTCTTTTGTGTTAGTTATCCACTGCTATTGTAATGAATCTTCCCAAGCCTTAGCAACTTAAAACAACATTTATCATCCCGCAGTTTCTGTGGGCCAGAATTTCAGAAGTAGCTTAGCTGAGCAGTTTCGGCTCACAGTTTCTCATGATTGAAGTCAGATATCAACAAGGACTATAGTCATCTGAAGCCTTGACTAAGGTTAGAGGATTGCTTCCAAATGGCTCACTCACATGGCTGTTGGCAGGAGGACTCAGTTCCTCTCTGACTTTTGCCAAGAAGCCTGTTTCTTGTCACATGGGTCTCTCCATAGTCTGCTTGAGCATCTTCTTGACATGGCAGTTGATTTCCCCTTGAGTGAGTGATCCAAGAGACACAGCAAGGAAGACATCAAATGCCTCTTCAGAATCACACTGTCATTCTGCCTTTTACTATTTTTACTGCCTTTACTATTAAAAGAAAGTCGCATTAGAGAATTTATAGACATTTTATTTTTTTCTTTTTAAGATTATATTTATTTATTCATGAGAGACACAGAGAGAAAGAGGAAGGCAGAGACACAGGCAGAGGGAGAAGCAGGTTCCATGCAGGGAGCCCTCGTGAGACTTGATCCTGGGTCTCCAGGATCAGGCCCTGGGCTGAAGGCAGCGCTAAACTGCTGAGCCACCTGGGCTGCCCTTCATAGGCATTTTAAAGCCACCACACTGTGCAACAGTTTTGTTCTGTGAAGCAATACATTCCCAATTTTACTTGAACTAGCTGAAACTAGCTTTCTTTTATTTGCAAAGGAGAGCTCTCACCAATAGTGGAATTAACAAGGCATATACAGTAAGAATATTGTACAACGACTTCAGGAAACTCTTTGGCAGGATCTACTAAAACTGATCCCACCCATGCCCTAAGATCTAGCAATTCCATTCCCAGGTATACTCCCAACATGTATGTGAAATTTATGTGCTCCAATACACCAGATACAAGAATATTCATTGAAGCTTTATTCCATAAGGGCTAAAACTCAAAAACAAAACAAATATCCATCTAAAGTAGAACAGATAGGTTGTGCAATGCCCATTGTTATGGGTAATTTTGTGTCGACTTGACTGGGCCAAGGGCTACCTAGATTAAACATTTATTTACGGGTGTGGCTTTTAGGAGGTTTCTGGGTGAAATTAGCATTTGAATTGGTGTGCCCCTGCTCTCCAGTAATAAAGGCAATGCCACAAGGGAGGATGGAGACGCGGACAGAGATTGTCCTTTCAGTGTTACAGCTATTAAAGTTGGTTGAGAGTCTTACATGTGCCACATGCCCGACTGTTGTGATAATTAATCTACCTAACCTCAATGAGTGAAAAATTTAAACGATCATAACTTACCGATCTTGCTATACAACAACAAAATCAAAGCCCCCTTAGCTAGTTCCTTTAAAACGCACTCCCCCTATGTCCCCGCAAGGATTGTTGCCAGTCCTCCCTCCCTCCAAACAGCACAGGCATTTATTTTTAATCTAATCTGGAGACGTTGGCCTCTTAAAACAATTAAATAACAATAGATGTCCAATTTTTCCCTAGGTTTGGAGTCACAGATTTGCTTCGGTAATGTAGGAACAATGTACTCGGGGGGAGGTGGGGAGGCACTTATCCTCCCTGAGCCTCTATCTCCTTATCTGTAAGACAAGCATCAGTAACCCGAATCACCGGGCTGCGGTGAGAATTTTCAGAGAGCGTCAAAGCCCCGCGTAATTTTCTCCTTTTTTTTCCTCAACTAGCACTTCGTTTCTGTTTTATTTCATTTTTATTATTATTTTTTTAAGATTTTATTTATTTATTCATGAGAGACACAGGCAGACGGAGCCCCGGCTCCAGACGCGGGACTCGATCTCCGGTCTCCAGGGTCACGCCCCGGGCCGAAGGCGGCGCTAACCGCTGAGCCACCCGGGCCGCCCCGTTTCCGTTTTTTAAAACTTGTGTCATAGCGTTAACCGGAAGCTGACCTGGAAGCTCCTTAAAGGAAGGGCTTCCTTCCCAATCCTCCGGCAGAGGACGAATAAATGTGTGGTAGACGGAGCGCCCCACAAAGAATCTGGCATCCCGACGGTTCCACGCGTTCCCAGTCACGTCCCACAAGAAGCACTAAGCTACCTGAGAGCGCGGTACTTGGGAGGCCCCAGCTCCTCGGCCTCCTGGGAGGCCCGGGTGACGCAAGCGGAGGACCCCGGGCCGCGGCGGAGCGCTGGCGTACTTCCGGCGCGACGCTTTCCCTCCACGCCGGGCTGGGTGGCGGGGGAGGGAGGCGGTTAGGGGGCTTTAGCGCCTTTTCTGGCGGCGGTAGATTTGAAGCGCTTTAAAGGACCGGACCCCGGGAAGAGAGGGCTGCCGGAGCAGGTGGGCGGCGCGAAGCCCGAGTCGTTTCGGTGGCGTCCTTTGCAGCCGTCCCGGGGAACGAGAGCGGGAAGAGCCCGAGGAGAGGGGCGGAGCCGCCGCGTTAGGCCCGGCGGAGTCAACCGTCTTCGCCTCGAGGTATCCGGGCTGCTCGGTGCCCGCACAAGCCCGCCCCGGGGGGGCCGTGGCGCTGGCCTTGCAGCTGCGGCCGCTGCCGGAGCCTCCCGGGCCGGGGAGACGGTCCTCCCCCTCCGGCCCCCGCCCTCTGCACTTGGGCGCACACCTCCCTCCCTGACGCATTTTGCCGCACAAGCTGTAACATGGCGGCAGCGACGGCGGCCTGAACTCTAGGGAGCAAGGGTGATTTTCTTTCTGATGCTTCGAAATCGTAAGACTCATGGCTAACGCGGGGTAGGCGGGAGGATTGGTGGAGAAGGGGTGACCTGATGTCCTGGCGGGTGCGGGGTTGGAGAGCGGCAGGCGAGGAGCCTGGATCACAGGCTTTCCTCCTCCTCCTCCTCCTCCTCCGACCTTTTCCTCTCGCAGACCGCGGCTGTCGTACCCAGTTACGGGATACAGGCCTTTTAAACCGAAACTGCAATCCGGGCCCTTGCCTTTTCGTCCCAGCGCTGTCTCAGAGTTCACCCCACGTTCCCGAGGAGCCGTGAGCAGCGCAGGCCTTTTAGGCGAAGATAATTACTCTTCCGGAGGAGGGCGAGGGCTCCGGGGCTCCGTGTGCCCTGGGGGAAGCGTGCGAATTTGGCTCCTCTTTAGTCTTCTAAGGAGCTAAAGTCGGGGTCTGCGGGAAGGCAGAACTGCCCTTCGTTTCGGAGATGTTATGAAAAGCACCATTTTGTGCATTGGTGTAATCTGTTCCCACAACAGTACTTTCCGTTCAGGACCAAGCTTTCGCAGTAGTGGTGACAAATGACGTCCAAGGAACAATTAAATGTTAAATGTCCTGGGCGTTTGGGGCTCCGTTAACTTTTCAGGAGCTAAAACCAGATGGAAGGGGTGTGTGTGTGTGTGGGGGGGGATATTCGTAAAGATGATAGCTGAGGAGGTGTGTGAACATTTTCGAAATAGGGCCGTAAAATCCAGAAAAGGTACGGTTATCTAGAATGGCTACTTATCAAGTCTTCTTCTTCTTATTATTATTATTATTTAGATACCCGAAAATTTACTCGTTTTAGCATTTCTCCTTTTTGCTTTAGCCGTTTTAGACAGAATTATTTCTATAATAAATTACTTCTGGCTCCATTAGAGTTCATTTTACATCGCTTAAGGTTTTCTTTATTCAGGATTATAGGTGCCCTAAAATCCCAATGGGTCTTGTAATAGGATTCTGTGCTTTTTAGGGAGGAGGGGAGGCAGGATATTGTGTTTGCTTTTTAAGGTTTTTGCCTTAAAAACCTTGCCTTCCCCTGCAGTCAGCAGTGTATGCAAGCTTCCTAGTTTAGAAATTTGGATTTGTTTCTGGCTCAGCCATCTTTCTGAACCTCAGTTTCTTCATCATATATTTTGATTTCCGGCTATCATAAGGTGTGGGCTTCAAAAATAAATAATCAAATTTGTTAAAATTCTGTGTAAAATCGGCTTTCAGTAAGAAGTCAGTGGTTCTTCTGTGAGTGAGATAGAGAACATACATTTTTTTTTTAAAAAACGATTTTATTTATTTATTCATGAGAGAGAGAGAGGCAGAGACACAGGCAGAGGGAGAAGCAGCCTCCATGCAGGGAGCCTGATGTGGGGCTGGATCCCAGGACTCCAGGATCACGTCCTGGGCCAAAGGTGGTACTAAACTACTGAGCCACCCAGGCTGCCCCGAGAACATACATTTTTTATGACCTATTAAAGACCTTTCATTTTTGGTGCTATTGTGGTCTTGCAGTATCAGTGACCTCTGATTTAGATTTTCTGTCAGGCAACATCTATTCTGCATGCAAAGGAAAATTCGTAGCCATTCATGATAGTATGAACTAGTCATCAATATGAAACAATAGCAATTAATTCTTCCAGTGTTACTCTTTTAAAAAACAGATGTTGATGTTATTTGTTTGTTTATTTATTTATTTTTACTAATAGGGTATTTTAGTAGAACTATAACGTATTACCTAGTTTTGGTATTCTGATATACTAAGATGTTTAACTTGCCACATGTATTAGGAGTCCATAGATAATTAATTTAAGTGATTTGAAGAGTTTGTTGCAGATTTCTGCTACATTGTTTTACTACACTTTTTTGGGCTTTAATATTAGCCCCAAGCTTCAGTTTTTATTTAACGATCTATGGTTTTGCCATGGTTTAATGCATAGACTGTCTCTATAAGAACTCTGTATTTTTATTTCGGTGGGGCAAATCTTGCGTCTTGAGATTTACTACAGGCAGTATTGTGTAAATACTTAGAGAAAACTTCTGTAACTGGGACTTTGTACTTTTAGTACCACACAGGAAATCCTTTGCACTTTTAAAAGGTGTCTTAAGATTATCACCAAACTCTTCTTGAAATGTTACTACCTCATACTTCCCTATAACTATAGGCTTCAATATTTTTAAATATTAAAATGGTTGTTTTTAAAACATGAGTGATTCCTTCAGTCATTGTTTTTCTTTTCTTTTTTTTTTAAGATTTTATTTATTTATTCGTGAGAGACACAAAGAAAGGCAGAGACACAGGCAGAGGGAGAAGCAGGCTCCCTGCGGGGAACCCGATGTGGGACTCGATCCCAGGACCCCGGGATCATGACCTGAGCCAAAGGCAGACGCTCAACCACTGAGCCACCCAGGTGCCCCAAGTCATTGATTTTCTAAAATGAATGAAGCCTCTTTATGTATTAAGTTACTTTGAATTATATATAAACTTTAGCTTAAGGTTTATATCATTACACTATGGTCATAATGTAGAAAGTAAAATTGAATAAGCTGTTATCTGGAATATTTGCAAATAAGCTGTTTTCTAGAGCGAAGCTGTTAAAGTACTTAACCAGAAAAATCTTGCCTTTTTAAGTTATGACCTTGTGCCAGTCACTTCAGCTCTCTAGTCCTCTTGTCAAATCTATAAAATTAGAAGACTGGACCATATTAAGTTTCCTTCAAACTTCAAAAATCTGTAATTTATGTAGGAATTACCACGTTGGCTAACATGTTGCTATTATATGATATAGGTATATCTCTGGAGAGAGTGTTGTACATTTATCATTGTAAGAACTTAAATAATTGCAGGTATAAGATTTAAAATGTTAACAGGGATTTCCCAGTTAGTATACGCTTTTTGAGTTTGGTACTAACAAAGCAAGCATAGTTTTATGCTTCCAGATTGTATGTTTAGAAAGTATATGATACACTATTTAACACTGAACTTGGCAACATTACAGCTTTTCTCTTTTTATGTTTTCTAAAGGATTTAAGAATTTAGGAAGTGCCTAGACACCGTTAATCATGTTTCTATCAGCACAGTGGTTTGTGATTATCAGAGACACTAAGGGAGGAGGCACCATATGGAAAAGCATAGTTGCCTTTTCTGATGCCTCAAAATGTTAACTTGTTTGTACTTAATTAATTAGCAATTAATTAGCATTCATAAATGTATTAGAATGCTTATTAAATAGTCTATTTTCATTTCTCATTTGATCTCTGTGAACTACATTGTGGGTAGGATCAGTAAAGAAGCTGAGGTGAATGTCACATTGCGTTCTTTTTTCTTTTTTAAAGATTTTATTTATTCATGAGGGGCAGAGACACAGGCAGAGGGAGAAGCAGGCTTCATGCAGGAAGCCCGATGCGAGACTCGGATCCCGGGTCTCCAGGATCATGCCCTGAGCGGAAGGCAGGCACTAAACCACTGAGCCATCCAGGGATCCCCTCAGATTGCCTTCTTTGAAAGTAATCTTCAAGTCTGGTCTAGTTCTGATTAGTTTAATATAAAGTGCTTGCACTTAAAGGTGGAAATCTTGTATGAAAATTGTTGCCTGTTTATTTAAACTTAAGCAGATGAGAACTTGCCATCTTTATTTCTTAGTCCTAAAGATGCTCCCTCTAGTAGTGGATTCTGTTTATTAAAAAAGAAAAGAAACATTTTGTTAGTAAAATACAACTCAATTAAGCAGGGATAGGAAATAGGTTCTGTTTCAATTATGGAATAGACTGAGGATGGTTACTGACTGGTAGGCTCTGGGACAATTTACAGACTACAGATACAAATTAACAGTACTCCATGTGAGTAGTGGTACATTTAAGGGGAAGGCACTGAATTTTAAGCAGAATCTAGTTTTGCTCATGCCTTGAGTAGCTAGTATTATTTCCATTTGATAATGTTGTCCTGGGCCAGGCCCTATGCCTGGTGTTGAAGATAAAAGGGTTCTGAGTTTGAGGAGTTTACAGACAAGTTTATGATAATGAACATAAGATTCATTAAAGGAGAATCATTTAAGATTTAGAGAGTCAGGGTGACGTTCCCGGAAAGTGTATTCTATTTGAGTCTTTAAGGACACAGGGGAATTAGCCAAAGGAATCAGAAAGGGCAGAGACCTGCTAATCTTAATAGTTTAAAAGATTTACTGTCTATTTTTCGAAGACTCAGTACTTTACTGACTTTCTCATACTGTGTAAAACTTCTGAGTAATTCTTTGAATCTCATAAATCCCTGCATTATTTATTGCCTTATTGCAAATACCATGTCCTTTTCCATATATTTTAGTAATTAGTTGCCTATGTCCTTGTCCTGCCCCCATTCCCTTCCTCCATGTTACTTTAGGATGAATATCAAAGTTATTTTAGTTTTGAAACTATAAAATGAAACTTTTTACAAATGAATTTGTTACCTCTGATATTTTTATGAAATACATTTGTTGCAGAAGTTTACATATCCTAGCATTTTGTATTTTAAAATACTGTTTACATTATGAAAACTATGAAACTATGAAAACTGTTAGTAAACATTGAAAACCACTGTAATTCTGTCTGCTTAGAAAAAATATATATAAACATTTTAAAAGTTATAGCTAAGCATCAGGATTTTATGCATTTTTATATGATCTAACCTTTTTTAGTGACTTTGTTAGCCTTATTATTTAAAAGAATTTTCATGGGACACCTGGGTTGAGCTGCTGCCTTCAGTTCAGGTCATGATCCCAGGATGCTGGGATCAGCCTCCATTGGGCTCCTTCCCTGCTCAGTGGGAGAGGGCTTCTCCCTCTTCCTCTGCCTGCAGCTCCCCTTGCTTGTGCTCTGTGTCAAATAAATAAAAATAAAATCTTTAAAAAAATAAATCTTTTAAAAATTAAAATAAATGAAAAGTATATTCATTATGAAATGAGGTTAAGTATTACTCAAATTCCTGAAGTAGGCAAGTGAAGTGAGTTCGTGAGGTCAAGTAGATAATAAAAGGT